GCAGGCATAAACTCCACTGTCAGTAAAACAAGGATCCTGAGGTGGGCATGCAGGCTTAAACTCCCCTGTCAGTAAATAACAGCGACAAACCCCTTTCCACATCAATAAGAAATTTCTGCCAAAAGAAGACTGAGTCGCTTTAACGATTCCGACCATATCATGAGCATTTGTTTATGAAACATTATCAAATAGAGTTGATACCAGGTGTTCTCGAAAAGGGGAGCGTAGCACCCGTCACAAACAAATGCAAAGACAGTCAATTGTTCCCCTAACAAAACACATGAACATATGGTAAAGTCAAAATAGGGAATTGCATCAGACATCATACTTGTGACTGATGCGTCAAATGTGGAAATGCCCTCCACATGTCTGCCATAAACTTTTTGAAAGCTTAAAGGTTATAACCTTGATCAAACAACTTCTGAGTAAGAGTTGTATGACTCTTTTTGAAATCTAGGAGGAAAAAGCATGCTCGATTGTACCGTTAAAGTTTAAATTGACCCCGTTAATTCTTAAAACAAATAGTTATGCTTCACACACCCACACACCCACACACCCACACACCCACACTACCACGCACACACCCGAATATCAAATGCTCGGTCCCCAAACGACGACGAATGTCCTGTAGTCACAGTTCACATGATGTTCACGCTCTTTGCACCATCACCTCACAGTGGGCGAATTTAATCTGCTATTTATCATAATTACATATCGTCAAGATATCCATATTAATTTGTGATATTATTAAATATTAACATAGAAATATGTTTATGTACGTATAGCTAACACAACGGGATGTTATGTTGATGTGACAGATGTTATCTTTAATAACAGAAGATATTTATAAACGTCCATGGCAGATGAATGATAATTAATAAAATAAAATGTCAATTAATCTTTTCATTAATAAAAATAATGATGATGATGATGATGTTGTTGATGATGATGATGATGATGATGATGATGATGATGATGATGATGATGGGAATGGCCATATGGGAATGCATCGGACATAATTTTGGTAACTTCGTAGTATTCAATGCTGACCAAGGATTACACCATCGAACGCTATTGATATCAGAATAACATATACTGTTAATATTTAACTTTTAACCGTTAAGTTGATTATAATCCTTAAATTTTGAGATGAATATATCAAGAACAATGGACTGATGCACTTAATTACTAACATGACCATTTGAAAAATATATATGAACAATATCAATAAAACATAATGTAAATATCGTTATGACGTCATCGCAATGATGATGTAATGCATGATGTCATACTCGATTGTTCATTCTATCTTGTCAAATATGACCTGACGCAGTTGAACAGATAACAAGGGCATCTCTGTGCTCGGATGAAGTGCGTATATAACACTATGACCAATCTCTGCCTGGAGAATACAGACATTAGATTGAGCAGCTGTGACCAGGTATACATGGATAAGTCCGTAACAACAATGCCGTTTACTGAATATGCATCAATGAATATAATAATTATAAAAATAAGTTTGAAGTGCATTGCACAGTACTGAGTTACAGCAGTTTCACCTCTACCAAGTAAGATTCATTGCATCAGAGGGGCGGTCGGGTAGCCTAGTGGTTAAAGCGTTCGCTCGTCACGCCAAGGACCCGGGTTCGATTCCCGACATAGGTACAATGTGTGAAGTCCATTTCTGGTGTCCCCCGCCGTGATATTGCTGGAATATTGCTAAAAGCGGCGTAAAACCATACTCACTCACTCACTCACTCATTGCAACAGAACACAAATGCAACCAGAATCACTACAATGGCAGTCCGTGGTGACCCGGGTAACAATGTAGGCCACCGGCAACCTATGCTGGTCGTAAGAGTCGACTTAATGGATCGGTGGTGAATCTCTGTGACTTGTTCGATGGCATTGTATCCCAAGTGTGTGGGTCGATGTTCATGATATCAATCACTGGTCCAGACTCGATGTTATACATACCACCGTCATGTCGCTGGAATTTTGCCAACAATGGCTGAACCCGACTGGTGTAGATGCTTTTCTCCTGGTGGTGTGAAAAAATATAATGCTTGTCCGACAGTTCATTCTTCAATTTCGTTTTCGTCTTCTTTCAATCTATTGTTATATTATCTACAAGGTAAAAAAACCACATGACATATCTGTCAGTGTCAATAAAAAGATCACGATACATACATTGACAATTGACATCGAGAGAAGGCTACACAAAACATAAACATGAGAAAATATACTCATCGCTCGGCGGATAAAGCTAGATTCAAAAACAGTATGGTTATTTCTAGAAATGGACATTTCGGAATGTACACATCTTTAAGTGATTGTGCAAAGCGGCGTAAAAATGATCTGACATGTCTGTGTATTGTGGCTATAACATAACCATATCAATAATTGTACAGCAAATATTTAACTTTTGAAGTCCACTTCTTTTTAATGACTGGCATACAAAAGCGTCAAATTACATTTTCTTCGATATCTTGTACATCGTATTATTAATATTTCGACACATTATGTATTTAGTCTCAGATAACTTGATAGCTTGATATATGAATTGGAAGCCTTCCACATTCACTACATACCACTATATTCGGTGTGTTAGGTATGACGCCCAAAACCTTTTTACATGACAATAAGTAAACCTTTTTACTTCGTGAATCATCAACGAAACTCATCAAACATTATCAGTACTTTTATTGAATTCGACAGATAAAATTGTGTAATCATTTTGACTTAATATAAATTCGGAATATTACTGTCGTGTTTTGGATTGCGACATAAATATTTTCCCTTGTTGCAATTAGCTGTTACTTGATTACCTTGAAAGGGTCCAAATGTTTACACAAAAACATAGTGAGTTAAGTATTTGTAAATGAAACGTCAAAGTGCCATGCGATTAACTCTTGTGAAATACTGCTGGGAACAGCTGATCAATCATAATTAATTGTCCAATTGCAGAAAGTTGCCCTCGTTAGAAATAGACCGAATTTAATGTGCTGGGATTTCCTGTGTGTTATGCAATCAGGAACAGTGATTGATTCACAAACACTTAGCACAGTGCAGTTATAACGTCAGTACCTTAGGTGCAATGAAACGCATACTTCAGCCACAAGGAACGAAAAAACAAGATACAAATACAGAAGACGCACACTCGGTACTGACTGAAAAGATACAGCGATGCTAACGTGTTCGCGAAACTGTTGAGCATGGTCTATCCTAACGCTATTGTGATGCGTGAACGTGTCCTGCCCTTACGCTAACGTCATATGTGATAATGCCCTACCCTGACGCTAACGTCAAGGGTTAAGGTCATTGTTAAGATTCACTTGACTCAACGAAAGATTTTATCACATTCATTAAATCAAGTTTGAAACAATCCAAATTATATCGTCATATGTAGCGTTGTTAATCACGTACATATATAATGCAGTACTTGAATCGAAACTTAAGGTGGCATTACATATCAAGGATGGGCACATGCAGTGATACCTCGCTATTCCGTACGTTACCGTTCCAAGTGAAATTATCCGTATAAGCAAACCTCTGAATGGACGAGGTATTGATGCTTAGTTTGTTTGTTTGGTTGTTGTTTAACGCCGTACTCAGCAATATTACAGCTATATGACGCCGGTCTCTAGAAAATCGAGTTTGGACCAGACAATCGAGAGATTGATATCGCGAGCATCAATCAATGCAATTGTGATGCGATGACATGCATCAACCAAGTCAGCGAGCCTGACCACCCGATCCCGTTATTCGCCTTTTACGACAAGCATAGTGGCCTTTTACAGCAAGTATGGGTTGCTGAAGACCTATTCTACCCCGGATCTTCACGGGCTAAGCCATGCTGCTTAAATTAGATGAATATTCCCAAAAAGCTCTGGAAGGCAGGTTCTCCGGATTACCGAGGTTTCACTATACACGTGTTGGGATTTAACCGGTTCGCTATACTTTTTGAAAAAGTGTATTAAAATGGAATGATTACTGATAATGAGTACGAGGGTTTATAGCACTTGGGTGGGTAACCAATCCCAACTCTCATTTCTGACAAGGAGATGTACATCCTGTGGGATGTATCGGTGCTTACGTCATCGATCACGGGTTTTGTCTAGTCCAGATTACAAAGGTTTACATTATACGACTGTCATATTGTCGCGTGAAAAGAAATCCAATACGCAAGCATCCATGCCCAATCTGTATTTGTTTTCACAGCATTGATCACTATTTATTTTTAGTTCACGCTATATTGCTTTATCGACCACTGATAGCTTATATATGTCCCTGGCGTGTTATATATCTACAGCCCGAGGAAATACTGACTCACTAATGCAATTTGTTCTCGTCGCAAGTTAACACGTTCTTGTGTTGAGTTTATGTGGTTGAAGGTTAGGAACATCCAGTGTTTTTGTGCGATGTCATGTCTGTTTAGTCGCTCACGCCCATGGAGACTTGAAACATATGACAGACCCGTGAAGATTCCGGAGTAGAATAGGTCTTCAGCAACCCATGCTTGCCGTAAAAGGCGACTATGGTTGTCGTAAGAGGCGACTAACGGGATTGGGTGGTCAGGCTCGCTGACTAGGTTGATGCATGTCATCGATCACAATTGTGTGGATCGATGCTCATGATATTAATCACTGGATTGTCTGATCAAGACTCGATTATTTACTGACCGCCATCATATAGCTGGAATATTGCTGAGTGCAGCGTTAATTTAGTCCTTAAATTGAAATGGTCCCATGAGTATTGACCATTGTCCCTCTTTAATTAATCAGTTGTGAAATGATCCTCTCTTCATACGAGATACTGAAAACCCACAAAGATGTTGTGGAAAGTTTCGAAGAGGCGAGGAGACAAAGCGTACACTTGTTTACATCACTTTATTTAATTTATGGAAATGATGTAAAGATCGTTATTTCCATGTTCTTTACAAGCTTGAAAATATTGTTTTTGTCTTCCAGTAAATATATATAATCCTCGTGTATCTCCAGATATGGTTTACGATCTACATGCTCTTCGTGTCAATGGTCGTGATCATCGCCTGTCTGTACACCATACCACAGCTTCGGGAGCCTTTGAGGAAAGAGGATTCCCATCTTGCATCCGGATCCATCCTAGACATGCTGCTGAAGTCCGAGATGAAAGGCACCATCTACAGGCTGGATCTTGCCTGCCTCGTTTTCTTTACTGTGGAACTGCTTACCAAGTTTACCATCTGTCCCGAAAAGAAACGATTTTTTAGTTTTGGTCTAAATAATCTGGATGTGACATTGACATTAATTATGTGGACTGCGGTCGTTTTGGATCACATTCCTATAGTTGAGCACGTACATATTGCCCATACTGTTTTACGGGCCATGTTCTGTCTTAACGTTTTGCGTATATTCCACCTAGGAAAGTCGTCGAATGTTATGAAATTGTTGATATTCACACTGAAGGCGAGCTTAAGTGCGTTTGGTCTGCTTTTGGTGACATTAACGATGGCCGTGATTATATATGCCACTCTTGCTTACTTTGCAGAGGTCGCTACCAAAGCAGACACATTCAGCAACATTCCAATTGCAATATGGTGGACTGTCGTTACCATGACGACGGTTGGTTATGGAGACATTTGCCCACAATCCTGGGCCGGATATGTGGTGGGAGTTATCTGCTCTTTGTCCGGAATTTTACTTATTGCAATGCCCATTGCCATCATCGCGTCCAATTTTGATGCTTTCTATTCCAACATGCCAGCTGCCGAACAGCGAATTCGAAGAAAACGTCTCAAGGAGAGCGAGGATGAAAGGTTGAAATTAAGTTACAATAGTGGCGCGGGTCCCCAAACATTACCGCTGAAAACAGACCAGTATTATCAACCGACTTATGTTCCAACTGATGATGAATTATAAATCTTGGTATCTCTTCTGGTAATTCTTCTGCAGTTAGAGGCGCGGGGGCGGAGTAATTAGAGCCTGGGACCTTCTTTTTTTTTTATCTCACTTGCATCTTCAGGAATAATTGGAATATTATGGACCATTTAGTTAATTTAGAAACCTGTGAAGATCCGGGGTAGAATAGGTCTTCAGCAACCCATGCTTGTCGTAAAAGGCGACTATGCTTGTCGTAAGAGGCGACTCACGGGGTCGGGTGGTCAGGCTCGCTGACTTGTTTGATGCATGTCATCGTATCCCAATTGCGTGGATGGGTGCTCATGGTGTCAATCACTGGATTGTCTTGTCCAGATTCGATTATTTACAGACCGCCGTCATATAGCTGGAATAGTGATGAGCGCGGCGTTAAACAACAAACAAACAAACAAAAATAGTTATATTAGAACATACAAGAGTGGATGAGCTTAATTTAACGCCACTTTAAACAGTGTTCCAGTTATACCGCAGCGTGTCAGCTTGATGTGGGAGGAAAGACCTTATATTTGCAGATCGTAGACGTTTACCTCTTTGGTGAAACCCACGAGCAAGGGTATGGTGCTGACAAACCTTGAAACATAATCAGGGCGAGCCGGGATCATAGGTTTCTGGCGTGCCTAAGGGACGCAACTCGAATTGCACAGGGAATTGCGGCGCCTTTGACGACTGGGCAACCCGTGCCCCCGGACATAAATGCGTCAACGAGAATACATCAAGCACATTTACAATAGAGACTTTAACACATCAAACACAAGGAACGTAACATTGCAACATGAATATTTGTCTGAGTAGTAGAGCCCATTTTCAATCATTATTTTGCGCTTTGAGAGCAACATGGGGAGGTAAACGTGAAAACTCGAAGTTTCAGCTTAAATTATTTTTTTAGCAGACTGAGTATTCTTTTAACATTGGGGCCTACCATGCCGAGTTACCGTCTCATCTACGCCCAGCTTTAGGTCCCGAGAGGTTGACTAAAGAGGTGTTTACTATAAACGGGAGGACATTATGGAACAAGCCGCTAATCTCTGATATTATGTATTTTCTTTTACATAATTTGTTCTTGAAAATAGCCACCCTCATTTGCACAAATATTGTCACTTACAAGGTTGAGGTATAAAGAATGATTTGGTCAGAAAAGCCCATTATCGAATCACAGGTGTATAGTTCGGAGCACGGTGTCAGTGTCGCAGCATCAGCACGTTATACACACTCTAGTACATAACACGTGTAACCCTTCATATTCACTGTACATTTATGCATGTTTACTAACCAGAGTGCACGCACGTGCATACTACACATTGACATATTCCACAGTGGACGTGTGAGTGAGTTGGGTTTAACGCCGCTTTTAACAGTATTCCAGTTATATCGCGGCGTTTCAGTTAAATGTGGGAGGAAAGCCCGAAGTGATGCAGGTCTCAGACGTTTACCACTTCGCCGAAACCCACGAGCACAGGTATGGTGCTGACAAACCTAGAAACATAATTGGGGAGAACCGGGATTCGATTCGAATCATAGGTTTCTGGCGCGCCCAAGGGACGCAACTCTGCACAGCAAATCGCGGCGCCTAAAGACGACTGGGCCACCCGTGCCTAAAGGGGGTCTTCAGACTCGGCGGTAACAAAAGAAACATACCCCCCTGATGTTTACCGTAGGCGGATACCGGAAACCATCAGATAAAAAACAACGCCTTAGGTTGGTTGAAATGATACACAATGGCCCCAGTCATGTGGAGCTAACGAAGTTTGCCGTCGCCATTTCCAATTATGCTAAAGCCAAGCGATTCAACCGCTGTACTTAATACACCTAGTACATGTGGCGTTGTAAAAAATCGGCATCTAATAAAAAGATTGCGATAGTGCTTTGCATGTATATTATGAGGTCGTCTTTGTTGGCCACGTTTGTTGCAATAATTACTATCAGTTCACAGTTTTGTGACATTTTCTCAGTTAATTTTGCATATATACTAAGCAAAAATAATTACGGATCATGAATATTTTTGGCGATATTTTTTAGATAACCGTGTGTTCAGTCTTCACCACAAACAATATCCCCCCAAAAATATTCATGATCCCCTACTTTCTTGTTCAGTATAGTTATTAGCCATAACATATTCTTCCGCTCATCGTGTATATAGATGAAACGAACCATGGTCACACGTATTTATATGATCCATGTTGTAACGTCAAGTTTTCAAGTTAATGAGCATGCTATTATTTGTCCATTGTTTATAAGCGAATTTCATTTTGTTATGAATTACAGATCGTTTTGTGGTGCATGCGCTGTGGTCACATTGTTGTATCCATGTAAGGAATATATGCTGTTACAAGAAAAAGTATAGTTCGTGTATGCGTTATTTTGTTTACTAGAACTTATTCGTTATTTATTTAACGATTACTCGAACAGTCGGTGTATCGCACTTGTTCTTGGTCCAATGAGTTGGTGGGTGAGTTCTGTAGGTAGATTCCGGGGTAGAATAGGTCTTCAGCAACCCATGCTTGCCGTAAAAGGTGACTATGCTTGTCGTAAAAGGCGACTAACGGGATCGGGTGGTCAGGCTCGCTGACTTGGTTGATGCATGTCATCGATCCCAATTGCGTGGATCGATGCTCATGGTATTAATCACAGGATTGTCTGGTCCAGACTCGATTATTTACAGACCGCCGTCATACAGTTGGAATATTGCTGAGTGCGGCGTTAAACAACAAACCAACCAACCAACCAACCAACCGTCAAGCGTGGCAGGTATCATTAACAGAAGACAAATGAAGCGAAAGTAAAATGAACAATGAGGCTAGCAATCTTGAAAGTACCCATCATCAAGGGGATACCATTAAGTGTGCAGTGTTGCATCCCTTAGTGGTGCTAGGATACGCTTCGCGGGTGTCACGTCCGTGACTGCATCAGTTGGCTCTTTTAGTAAACATGGCGCACAAGGGATCAATTCGACCCGTGAAGATCAGGGGAAGAAGAGGTCTTCAGCAACACATGCTTGCCCTAAAAGGCGACTAATGGGAACGAGTGGTCAGGATTGCAGACTTGGTTGATGCATGTCATCGTATCCCAATTGCGTGGATCGATGTTTATGATGTAAATCACTGGATTGTCTGGTCCAGACTCGATTATTTACTGACCGCCGTCAAATAGATGGAATATTGCTGAGTGCGACGTTAAACAACAAACAAACAAAAAGAAAGAAAAAAGGATTAATTCCTACCCACGGGGCATTGTGCGCAGTGTCATTAAAATCGGACCAATGCAATACCTTCCTGCGTTAAGATCTGGGGAGCCTTCATGAGAGGTCGCGTTAGATGAACTTTCTAATCAACCAATCAGCGTCGAGATTTCTAAATTCTCGGTACGAGTGAGAAAATCATTCAAACAGGCATATTCAATTTACGCATCTCGAAAACGAATATACTCTTGTAGATACGTTACACACCCTGTCATTTCTGAGCGCCATGGAATCTACACACGAAAGGGATAGAAGGAATATGTATTGTGTCTGGGTTTTCATTTGTACTAATCGAAATGTCCGAATCGAGGTGTCATTCGTCACCACTCGCATCTTTCCGTAACATATGACACGAATCTTCACGGGTCTGGAGTGAGCGAGTATGGTTTCAAGCCGCGTTTGGGATTATTCCAGCAATATAAAGTCGGGGGCACCAGCAATGGGCTTCTCACATTGCAATCTCGTGTGGAATTGAACCACGAGCGAACGCTTAAGCCACCATAGGTGTTATGTCGACTTCTCCTTACGCCTTCCACATGTAATAACGAGAGATTCTGGCACGTAGGTCAATAAAATACAACAAACGAACGTTCGTATGTTGTGTGTTTATTCATTTTAAGATAACTATGATGGGTTTTTTACACTATCTGTGAAAGTACAATCGAGAATGCGATGGCTTCAAACATACGAGGTCTCCGCAAAGCCTTTATGGCAGACACGTGGATCACATTTCCAAATTTGACGCATCAGTAACAAAAATGATGTTCGATGCAATTCCCTATTTTGACTTGTAGCAAATGTTCCTGCGTTTTTCTCGTTGAACGCTTAACTTGTCTTTACAGGATACGCTCACCTATTCACGAACACCTGGTAACGTAACTATTTGATAGTGATTCATAAACACCCGCTCATGGTACTGTCGTAATCGTACATTCTACCATGAATTTGGAAAATACTCGATTTTGAATGGTCAGTCAGAGGTATTAATCACAATAAACCCCCTCTGATTGAAACAACCGATTTGACGGCTGCATTGACGGCTGCATCAGTCATTGTCGGCAGGCATATTTAAATAATTATGTGTACAATTACAGGTTATAAAATGCTAAATGTGCTTACTACAATATTCAAAGGATGTGTGGCAATACATTTAGTGCAGAAAACACGATACAAATGTGCAAAGAGAATGTATTTCAAGTTTGGAGGACAGCAGAGAGCTTGCTATTTGGCGCTTTTCATATCTTTTGCGTTACAATGAGCGATATGACGTCACAATAGTGACATCCTGTTTAGAACGAGATGTTTGCAAGGCTTGCTCAGTTTTCTTTATGGGGGTGCCAACATATCAGCTTACTTCATATCATATCATCAGTTGCCGTGCTACATGCTTTCAGTGCCTGTCATAAGTTTGTGTGAATTATTACGGTGTAAACAATCTGCTTGGGTATAAATATCGCCATATTTTCTTTAAAGGCGGTTGTGCGGTGATTCCGTAAATTCTGATCGACATCCCACTCAAAACACTGAACTCAACCCATGCCGCTCCCCTCAATATATTTGCTAACACCAAAGAGTTCGCGTTTTGTTCAGTCATGGTAGAATGGAGATAAACATTTTGTCTTTTCAGGGTAGAAGTAGGTTATCTGTACATTTAAACCCGCTGAATGGAATTTGGAACCGAACGCACAGCGTTCTTATCTCCTAAAAGGACTCTGCTTTTAGAAGAAATTTCTTATGATTATGGAAATTGATTTTGTTGCTTATATTCACAGTAAACAGGGTATTGTACAATGCCATGTAGACACTACTTCGAGTCGTTTGTTTGTTTTGTTTGTTGTTCAACGCCGCAGCTATATGACGGCGGTCTGTAAATAATCGAGTCTGAACCAGACAATCCAGTGATTGACATCATTAGCATCGATCCACGCAATTGGGATACGATGACATGCATCAAACAAGTCAGCATCCTTACCACCCGATCCCGTTAGTCGCCTCTTACGACAAGCATAGTCGCCTTTTACAGCAAGCATGGGTTGCTGAAGATCTTCACTGGTCACGTCGAGTTGTACGGCATCGGGAATCAATGCATCGCTCCCCTCAAATGCTACTAAAACATGAACTGGCGGGGGGTGGGGTGGGATGGGGGTGGGGGGTGGGGGGGGGGGGGGGGGGGGGGGGGGGCAGGGGCGCAAATATTTGTCCCCAACTTGATTGAAATAAAACTGTTTTCTATTAAAAATCTATCTATTGAGTGCGGCGTTAAACAACAAACAAACAAACAGACGATAGAACAAGAACCAGCACCATCAGGAAACAGTGACACGCTTGTCTGACCGGGAAAATCTATTCTCCGTGAAGATCAAGATTAGAAATGGTCTTCATCAACCCACGATTGTCGTAAGAGGCGTCAGGTGGTTAGGCTCGGTGACTTGGTTGATACATGTCATCATATTCCAATCAATGGAGTGTTTGGTCCAGACTCGGGTATACCAACCATGTCAGCTACCCTGACCACCCGATCCCGTTAGTCTCCTCTTACGAGAAGCATGGGTTCCCGAAGACCAGCTCTAAACCCGATCTTCACGGGGTAACTGAAACTGGAGCAGGGCCTACAGAAATACTATTTCATTCTCATTCACGATCACATCTCCTTCTGAATCTTCATCCTGCTCCTCTGTTCTATTGACCTGTGATTTTGCAAAAGCATTTTTTGTGAAGTGGGAGACAAAGCCAACTGCCAGACAGTCCCCAGCCACGTTCACCGAGGTCCGGAATCGATCCCTGTAACAACAAGATACCGAGTGAGTAGGTTCTATGCAACAGGTGAGGTGAAATGGGGTTTAACGTCGCGTCCAAGATTATTGCACTTATATAGCGACGTGCATGTACGTGTGTGTGTTTGTGTGGCTGCTTGTACTAGTCCGGACTGATGCCGGTTTATAGTGCTAGCTCACTGAGATACCATGCCGCAGTTTAACATGAATACCCCACTCAGACACAGTATACTGAGTACGAGCCGACCAGTCCTTGTTTTAGCCCCTTAATGCCGAGCGCCAGACAGGGTAACAACAAGTACCATAATTTAACGTCTTTTGGTATGACGCGGTCGGTGATCGAATCTCGGACCTTCCGCTGTCCGGGCGGACGCTCTACCACTAGACCACGGAGGCGGTCTCTATACAATAGTTCACATTACTTCCGCTTTTGTATCTGTTGAGGTGAGAGGAAAGCCTAATGCTGTAGTTATTTACCGCTTCAGCATGGCGTTCTTCTGGCAGACCAAGGATCATGACCCCTGATCCCATTATACGCTATAGTTGAGGATCCATTTGATGTTAAAAAATGTTTCATAAAATTTAAACATCGAGGTTTTGCATTATCGCTCGCTCGCTCCCTCACTCACTCACTCACTCACTCACTCACTCACTCACTCACTCACTCACTCACTCACTATCGGGCAGCATGAGCCCAAACCACACCAGGTTAAAATGGACACCTGTCTCATTTGGTCGCTGGTGGCCAGAAGCAAGTGAATTGGTTCGTTTAATGCAGCTTGGTGAACGAGGAAAGTCTGAAGTGATGCACTTCTTTGGTGAACCCACGAGATATACATGTAGTTCTCACTAACCGACATTCATAAGCATGGCGAATCTGGGATTCGAACACACAGTCATAGGTTTCTGGGACACATAAGGGGCGCAACTCTGCACAGTGAATTGCGCCTTAGACGACTGGACCACCCTTGTTTAAATATTGATGTCATTGTTATGCTAAACTCTACCTGTGTAGTTGATAGAATATATTCCCGTCGGATGGAATGATGATATGATTTTATATTCAAATTTTATTTCGTCGCTTTATGGCTGAAAATTGTCAATATGTCAATAATCTCACACAATTACACTTAATAATGGACTTACGTTAACCAGTCAATTGTGAGCAAGTAAGAGATCCCCCTGTCGGGAAGTCCGACAGCATTCAGAATCAGCAGCAGAGCGGTGATGCCTGTCCCTGGAACCCCAGCTGATCCGATACTGCCCAGCATAGCTGTTAGACTGAGAGCACAGAAGCTATGACAGTTGGCCTGTGTCAAAATTACCTTATGCCAAATTCTATTTTCATAATTCCATTTTGGTTTGGTTTTGCTCCTCGTTTAAACCTGCGTTTGAAATATATGATTTCAAAACACGAAAAATTCATGCTATGGCTATGATAACGCTATAAAATGCCCGGGGTGGTGGGGTAGCCTAGTGGTTGAAGCGTTCGCTCGTCACGCCAAAGACCCTGGTTCGATTCCCCACAGGGAACAATGTGTGAAACCAATATCTAGTGTCCCTCGCCGTGATATTGCTGGTATATTGCTAAAAGCGGCGTAAAATCATTAGCACTAACTCACTAAAAAATAACTATAGATATGGCTGTGGTATGACCTTGATTTAACCCTCAGCTGATTAAACCCCGATTTAACCCTGATATGGCTATATGACTATATTTATTGTAATGAAATGATGTGCCTGTTTTTTCCTAAGTGCGAGCTCTTAGATCGAAGTTTGAGTAACGTGCAATGAATTTGCAAAAAACGAAACATAAATCTACCTTATAATAATTATATTGGTCATCGAAAGGCTGATGCCATTGTACTGAGCGATAAACATTGGCGCACAGACACAATAGACTGCGCCAGCATCCATGTTGACGGTAGCCCCTATAGGAAGGACAAACTTGGTGATGCTGGTGGACACTTTCAACTTCTTCTCCATACACTTTATTGTCACTGGCAGTGCAGCGGAGCTTGGAACAGAAGATCTTTCAATCAACTCTTTTTCAACTTTTGCAGACCTGTTATTACTTTTGTTACTTTTTGTATCTTTACAAATTATTGTAAGAAATTATTGCATAGCAACTCTGCCAGGCATCATATACATACTAGTATGTAATACAGACATCATACAGACACGATACAGTCACCATTCAGACATCATACAGACATAAAAATACATTAAAGACATAATACAGACATCATGCAGACACGATACAGTCTCCATTCAGACATCATACAGACATGATACAGTCACCATTCAGACATCATACAGACACGATACAGTCACCATTCAGACTTCATACAGACATGATACAGTCACCATTCAGACATCATACAGACACGATACAGTCACCATATAACGATACAGTCTCCATTCAGACATCATACAGACACGATACAGTCACCATTCAGACTTCATACAAACATGATACAGTCACTATTCAGACATCATACAGACACGATACAGTCACCATTCAGACATCATACAGACACGATACAGTCACCATATAACGATACAGTCTCCATTCAGACATCATACAGACACGATACAGTCACCATTCAGACTTCATACAGACATGATACAGTCACTATTCAGACATCATACAGACACGATACAGTCACCATTCAGACATCATACAGACACGATACAGTCACCATATAACGATACAGTCACCATTCAGACATCATACAGACACGATACAGTCTCCATTCAGACATCATACAGACATAAAAATACAATAAAGACATAATACAGACATCTTACAGACACGATACAGTCACTTTTCAGACATCATACAGACACGATACAGTCTCCATTCAGACATCATACAGACATGATACAGTCACTATTCAGACATCATACAGACACGATACAGTCACCATTCAGACATACAGACAGGATACAGTCACCATTCAGACATCATACAGACACGATACAGTCACCATTCAGACATACAGACAGGATACAATCACCATTCAGACACGATACAGACACGATACAGTCACCATTCAGACATACAGACAGGATACAGTCACCATTCAGACATCATACAGACACGATACAGTCACCATTCAGACATACAGACAGGATACAGTCACCATTCAGACATCATACGGACATAAAAATACAATAAAGACATAATACATCATGCTGAAACCATACAGACACCATACATACGTCAGTCAGACACCATACAAACATTATTCAGACACAGTAAAACAGACAGACAACATACAAACACCATACATCAGTCAGACACCATACAAACATTTTTCAGACATCATACAATAGACAGCCAACATACAAACACCATAGAGCCACCATGCAGCTATCATACAGACACCTAACTGACACATACACACAAGTACATCAGTCGGACATCATACAAACATCATACAAACAAACAAGATACAGACATCATACACACAATATACAGACATCATACAGACACCTAACTGTCACATACATACAAGTACATCAGTCAGACACCATACAAACAACATACAGACATCATACACACAATATACAGACATCATGCACACAATATACAGACATCAGACAGACACCTAACTGACACATACACACAAGTACATTAGTCAGACATCATACAGACACCATACAAACATCATACAAACACCATACAAACATCATACAAACACCATACAAACATAATACAGTCTTCAAACAAACATTATACAGACACCATTCATATTTTATGCAGACACCACACATACGTCACAAAGACAAGGTAATCGAACCCAATGCAATCGATATGTGGAAGTCCAAAGCTATATGTAATGACACCAAACCATACAATACATTTATATACACATGTTCATTTGACAAACCCAACCAAAGTGAAATCCGCGAACACACAGTGTTGAATAGGACGACAGCCTAGTTTTATTACCTTGACCCTGTTGCAAAGGCTGTGATAAGAGCTTGTCCAGCCGCGCCTAGCACACGAAACGGATTACTCCTGGTGATCATCAAATACAGTGAAGGCGTAGCAAGTAAGGCATGGATCAGCAGTCCTGCTAATTCAGTGATTATGTAGAGGACCAACATCTCACCTGTCTCTCTCAGGCTGTCTGAAGACAACAACTGTCCTGTAATCAACGACATTATGCCGAACGGGGAGAACCTGTAAAAGACAACGGAGACATTACCACTTTAAGAACACGGTGTATAGTTCAAGAACATGGCGCATGGTGTCGATGGCATAATGTATTGATTTGAGAACATGATGTTAAGCGTTGAGAACATGTATTGGGGTAAGGACATGGTGTATAGTGTTGAGGAGATTGCCTGTGGTGTCGATGGCATAATGTATGGAGATGAGAGCATAATTTTAAGCGTTGAGAACATGTATTGGGGTAAGGACATGGTGTATGGTGTTTAGGAGATTGCCTGTGGTGTCGATGGCATAATGTATGGAGATGAGAGCATAGTTTTAAGCGTTGACAACAAGTATTGGGTTAAGGACATGTATGGTGTTGAGGACATGGCGCGTGATGTCGATGGCATAATGTATTGATTTGAGAACATGATGTTAAGCGTTGAGAACATGTATTGGGGTAAGGACATGGTGTATGGTGTTGAGGAGATTGCCTGTGGTGTCGATGGCATAATGTATGGAGATGAGAGCATAATTTTAAGCGTTGACAACAAGTATTGGGTTAAGGACATGTATGGTGTTGAGGACATGGCGCGTGATGTCGATGGCATAATGTATTGATTTGAGAACATGATGTTAAGCGTTGAGAACATGTATTGGGGTAAGGGCATGGTGTATGGTGTTGAGGAGATTGCCTGTGGTGTCGATGGCATAATGTATGGAGATGAGAGCATAATTTTAAGCGTTGACAACAAGTATTGGGTTAAGGACATGTATGGTGTTGAGGACATGGCGCGTGATGTCGATGGCATAATGTATTGATTTGAGAACATGATGTTAAGCGTTGAGAACATGTATTGGGGTAAGGACATGGTGTATGGTGTTGAGGAGATTGCCTGTGGTGTCGATGGCATAATGTATGGAGATGAGAGCATAATTTTAAGCGTTGACAACAAGTATTGGGTTAAGGACATGTATGGTGTTGAGGACATGGCGCGTGATGTCGATGGCATAATGTATTGATTTGAGAACATGATGTTAAGCGTTGAGAACATGTATTGGGGTAAGGACATGGTGTATGGTGTTGAGGAGATTGCCTGTGGTGTCGATGGCATAATGTATGGAGATGAGAGCATAATTTTAAGCGTTGACAACAAGTATTGGGTTAAGGACATGTATGGTGTTGAGGATATGGCGCGTGATGTCGATGGCATAATGTATGGAGATGAGAACATTATGTTAAGCGTTGAGATCAAGTATTGGGTTATGGACATGTATTACATGGTGTTGAGAACATGGAGCGTGATGTCGATGGAATAATGTATGGAGTTGAGAACATGATGTTAAGGGTTGAGAACATGTATTGTGTTCAGGACATGTTTGGTGTTGAGGAGATGGTGTGTGATGTGGATGGCATCATGTATGGAGTTGAGAACATGATGTTAAGCGTTGAGAACATGTTACTTCAGCTAGACTCACATGTAGGGATGCTTACACGATTGACCATGCAACTCACCACATAGCTAGTTGCACCATGTGGAGGGTGATAGTGTTGATGGCATTGAAGAACCGTAGTACAACGGACCCATGCTTGCCTATTCTGCTGAGAAATACCCCAAACACCGCACAGTATGTCAATATACCTGTAACACGAATACAAATAAACAAAAGCGACAAAAGTATTTCCAAAATCATAATTATAAATTGTCAATGCAAGGGAATAACCAATCTAGATTATCCGCCGAAACAGATTCCATTTGGCGTAAAGGGCGAAATAGTTGTGTTTATTACATGAATGGGCCACTAAAAATCAGTGATGACGCCAGGTGTTTGCAAAAGGGTAAGCATGTCCTGTCCTACAGGTAGCACCCGCCATTCCCACAATTTGCATTCCAAAAGTTAGTATATATTGCCTGACGCAGCACAGCAGTACTCCTGCCATGCGACGGCGGCCTGTAAGAAATATCTGCTAAAATCAAATGTTTATGCACCACGATCAAATAGTGATGATAACAAGCGTTCGCGTGGCAAAGGCAAGTCATGTTTTTACATGAAAAAGACTCGGGAACATTTGGCTCATCATTTTTTGTCACTCATGCGTCATTTTTTTAAATGTCCTCTAAATGTCTACCATATCCATAAAGCTGTAAAGTTTTACTAAGGTTGAAATGTTGCAACCGAGAACAGCTTTTGATCAAGAATCGTATGACGCTCACGACTCTTTTGACACCTTATAACTGTTTCAGTTCAGAACAAAACACCATCGACATGTCCAGTGTGGGTAGATATGCCCAAAACCTTAAATACACTCTTTTAGTTGATGTATGTCGTGTTTTGTGCCCAAAATGTATCGTCACATACACTTTCAATATTGTAGTAACCGCAAATCTGCACTTTGTAACCAATAATTGTATGTATCGACAGTGATTGAGAAAGCAGTGTTGTTTTTTAAATACCTTCTCAGGTGTTGTGGCCGTCAAATCGGCTGTTTTAATCATCTGCGATTTTGGTGATTTAAAACCTGTTACTGACCGACCAGAATCAAGTATTGAAATTAAATCCGGAACGAGGTCTCACTGAACAACACTGAAACAGAGCTTACCAACAATATTAACACCCCCTACAGCAACGGTCTTCTTCAGCAGCAACGGATCGTTTCTTGTGATGTTGAATTCATGATCAACTCCACCGTTGTCATTTGAACTTATATTGATTAGTTCTAATCTTTTATCTCCATCGGTCGTTATGGTTCTGGTGTGTTGAATGGCGGCACCAATAATGTTGTCAGGGAAGACGTTTCTGCAATGTTAATATGTATATGTAATGTATTATTTTTTGCTTATTTTTTGAAATGTGCTTTGTTGTGTTTTAACAAAGGGATTTTGTCATCCTTATTACACTACAAAGCACACTAGCATCCTGGTAATATCCGTGGTTATAAAGCTTCTTGTTAGCCACAGAAAATGCGAGTTCATATATCAACAAATCCTATGCCTACTGCTGGAACTGTTAATGCTTACTTATCTGCCCTTGATTCGCATGCGCTAAGCGGCACATTTTAAGGTGATTATAACTTCCGGCGCGTATGTGATCCAGTCGCTTGCAAACATTTCCTATTGTCACTGTTGGAATAGCATAGACAAGGGTGTTAATTCAAGCATTGTTACCGTTCACCGAAGATTCTACATGCCATCTTCTAAGCTGGATTATTTAGCTTGTTTTACGAACGCCGTCTTTAAACTATATTACTGAAATGCGATTTATAATGTCAGATGAAGCATGTGTTGCAACGTGGCCAAAACCGTATATCATAAGCTATCTGGCCGTCGCGCATTAATGTATTATTGATGGAAATGAATATCTAGTACCTCATAGATAAGGTGAATTTTATACATCCATACTAGTCTCTGGCCGTGTACATTTGTATATGTGTTGACCTGTTTATATTATAGCTGTACCTATGGTTAGAATTAAATAAGCGATCTGTCTTTTTGTCTTCCAAAAATACAGCTTAAAACAACACAATGGTCCAGTACACAGCCAAGCCATGTCACATCTCATTGAATTTAAATTTTAAATATATTTTTCTTATCTTGTGTTTTGCTTTTACCACACACTTTACTGTTCCAACTTCTAAATGCCTCTATTCCAGTGATTTATGTTGGTATGGAGAATTATGGTTCGATGCCAGCAAATATTGCAATCAGGATGGTCATAATATTGTTATCTTTGTACATTTTTATCCAACCTATGTGAATGTATATATGTATTAACACAACACGGGTCATCCAAGGAAGGGGCCCTGAAAAGTTGATGTAAAGAATAAAATGGTTGTTATTAATGAACAAGTGCTATGTATTCATAATCTGTTATGTTTCGTCTATACGCGCCGGAAGTAGGAGGAGACAAGTCATTTGGGGTTTCTAATAGGCCCACATGGACCACGTGCATCCATACATGCCAATGTTTGAATACCAATTATCATATCTGATGAGAATATTCAAATTCACTATATTTCTTAGAGGAACAAACTTTATTACACGTATGTTCAAATGTGAATAACACTACCTGTCATTATGTCAGGCGAGAGATTCCGAAGATCCTAAAAGGTTAATTGTGGAAATATCAGAAAATCTAGATATTTTTCAGTCCCCCGGAACGCATTCGGTTCAACAGCAAAACCGACGAGACAACTGACATGGCAACTTTTTTACAATAAATACATTTCCTTTTTATACTCACCGACTGCCACCTTTTTTCTGAACAAATCATTAAATGAAATGAATATGCGCAACATACCTTATGGCATCCAAAACCATGTCAGTTCCAGAAGTTCTTGCTTCTTCTGCATAAGAAATGTCTGCTGTGATAGTACGAGAGTTACTTCCTGGTTTGATGGCAAGTACCAGCGCCAGTGATATCACCAGAGCGACAACAGTAGTAGCCATATAGTACACCAAAGCCAGCAGGCCCATCCTTCCAGCAGCAGCTCCCTTCAAGTTCCCTAGGCCTAACAGATAAACATAAAGTTATGTGTCACAGATGACGTTAAGTTATGTGTCATCACTCTCCTATTGATTCTTCAATCACTGAGGGACTGTCCCTTTGACTGTCTGTATTTGTCTGTGTGCGTGTGTGTGTGTGTGTGTGTGGTGGTTGGAGGTAGGTGGGTTAGGCTTTTCATGGAGACTAGATATTTTTTTTAACTACAGCCTCAAAACTAGATGTGGGGCATGGGTGGCCAAGTCGGATGGAATCCCGGTTTGCCCCGATTATGTTTCTAGGTTTGTCAGCACCATACCCGTGCTCGTGTGTTTCACCGAAGTGGTAAACGTCTTAGACCTGCATCACTTCGGGCTTTCCTCCCACATTAAGCTGTCACGCCGTGATATAACTGTAATACTGTTAAAAGCGGCGTTAAACCCAACTCACTCACTCAAAACTAGATGTCTTTGCAATTACTACTATCAGCCTAAATATGTTTTGTTATTTAAACATCGGGGAACAATTTATTTTCTAAGTGGGATCGATTTCTACTTCAACAATCTGAAGCATAAATATTTTAAACCATTATCCGGCTCAATTTTAATTTCGAAAATATCGCAGCCATCGTTATGTGAACCTCACGAAAATCTTGTCGCAAGAGGCGATGAAATGGATAGAGTGGTCAGGATCGGTAATTTGGTTGATTACATGTCATCATATCACAATTGCCTGGATTGATGTTCATGATGTCAATCATTGGGTTTGAATGGTTCAGGCTCGATTTTTTCAGACCCTTTGCGTATTCATAAGAAATCTCTGACAAAACATCGTCGATTGTACGATTCCGACTATATCATGAGCATGTGTTTATGGATCACTTTCAAACAGTGATGATACCTGTATCCTGCCTCGTCGGTGGCACCCGTCACAAACACATGCAAAGTCAAGTCAATTGTTTACCTGAAAAAAGCCATGGAAACATGTTGTCAAGTCAAAATAGGAAGTTACATCGGACACGGTGACATTTTTTGTCACTGACGCGTCAAATTTGGAAAAGCCTTGAATGTTGTAACCTTGATCAAACAACGTTTGAGCAAGAGTTGTAAAACGCTCTTTGAAATCTTTGTAGAACGAGCATGCTCGACTGTACCTCAAAAGTTGTGAAATGTAGACACCAAAGGCTGGAGCTGCAGGAATATTGTCCGTCATAAAGTCATCCCTATTGTCATACAGTCTACGTCTCTGCATTTGCACAAAGGGTGGAACATGATTTCAGATGATGTCGTCCCAGTAGTGTACGCCATTCAAATTTACATTAACAATGACTCGAAATATCCGCCTCCCGATATTGCCAATGGAGGCAAAATTGGGCATATAGCTGGATGTTGGGGCCGGATGTTGTGTTCCATCAACCAGTTGTGTACGGTTCTGCCACTAATTGGTGTCTGCCCAGGACTGAGTGTTGCCCTGCTGTAGGTAACGTCTCCAAGGAGATGATATTGTGTTATGATGAACATTAAAATCTCTTGCGTTTTACGCCATTCCTGTTTGCAACATACCATGCCGCATAGACTTCCAGCAAGTCGTGGCATCGAGTAAGCATTATTTACGGTTAGACAAAAGTCTTTTTATGAGCACATAATAACTAAACAATCAATTCACATTAAAAAAACACGTGTGTGAGTATCATGCTCCCAACAAACACGAAAGTATCCAAATTGTTTGCGTGCTTTTCAGAATAAATGTATTTTTATTGAACTTTATATGAAGCATTGTTATTTTGTTTCCATTAGTACATGAAGCGTATTCGCCTCGATGCATCTGGACACTCTTGAAACGGTTTGAGATCTTGTAATAAGTAGCATTGGTTGTGGTAATCTATAGCTTGGAATCTACATTCAAAGTAGTTTATATCAATTTTGATTCTATTGTTTTTGCCATATCCGACTTCACAATTTGGGACCAACAAAGCTTTGTTTGTATCCTTATTCAATAGTCGCCATATATATTACCTGTAATCATACTGGCCATTATCAAAGGTAACATCAGCAGCCTCAGCATCCGCAGGAACAGCTCCCCTGGAAATTTCACAAGGCGGATGGCTTCTTCCGACGGGGCGAGCTGTCGACACGTCACCCCTACCACCACACCCACGACTACAGCGAGGACTGTGATGATCAGGAGAATGTTACCACGTATGAACGATAAGGGCTTCATCTACAACAAAACAGATGACGTTGAGAGTGAGCGAGTGAGTTTGAACAGTATACAAGTTAAAAATGTATCTAGGCATGTCTGCTTTATGCAGAAGAAAAGCCAGAAGCGAGGCAGGTCTCAGACGTTTACCACTTGGTGAAACCCACAAGCACGGGTATGATGCTGACAAAACTAGATACATAAATACACTATTTTGCAATAGTCCACCATGGATGGAGTCAATAATGGGTTTCATACATTGTAATGGTGAAATGGTGAGGTGAGATGAAATGGGGTTTAACGTCGTGTCCAAGATTATTGCACTTGTATAGCGACGTGCATGTACATGTGTGTGTTTGTGTGGCTGCTTGTACTAGTCCGGACTGATGCCGATTTATAGTGCTAGCTCACTGAGATACCATGCCGCAGTTTAACATGAATACCCCACTCAGACACAGTATACTGACTCCGAGCCGACCAGTCCTTGTTTTAGCCGCTTAATGCCGAGCGCCAGACAGGGTAACAACAAGTACCATCTTTTAACGTCTTTTGGTATGACGCGGCAGGGGATCGAACCCCGGACCTTCCGCTCTCCGGGCGGACGCTCTACCACTAGACCACGGAGGCGGTCGTATTAGACATGAACTGTTTGAGGGAGTATAATGTGTCTGTGTGGACTGTCCATGTTCAACAGGAGCATGGTATCTCAGTGGGCTAGCACGATCAAAACCGGTATATGCCCGGACTGGTATGAACGTGGCTATGTAAGTAAACAAAATATTTAACAACACGCAACGCTAAAACTCATTTCACCTCACCAACACGATGAAACTATATTCACAATACCAGTTAATGCAATATACAGTTTTTAACCTAATGGGTCACTATTTATGAGTTAAATTTCTCCACACAGAGTTGTTGATTTTCACACACCTGACTGCAGTCAACCCTATCTAAAATTCATATTTCGCCCATTGAGTTTAATCCCCATCACTTTAGGCTGCAGATGCGGCAACTGAGAGCTGAATAGTCATTTAGACATGATGAATGGAAAGTTTGTATTCAAACATTATGGGTTTCGGAACAAGTGGGTATAAAAACTGCCACGATATTATGTAATTTGAACTCTGACGGACCTTGCGAAGGCTGGTGCAAAATCAACATTAGAGTAGTGTGAGTGAGTGAGTTTGGTTTAACGCCGCTTTTGACAGTATTCCAGTTATATCAAGGCGTGTCAGCTTAATGTGGGAGGAAAGCCAAAAGTGATGCAGGTCTCAGACGTTTACCACTTCGGTGAAACCAACGAGCACGGGTATGGTGCTGACAAACCTAGAAACATAATCGGGGCGAACCGGGATTCGAACCAAAATCATAGGTTTCTGGCGTGCCCAAGGGATGCAACTCTGCACAGCGAATCGCGGCGCCTTAGACGACTGGGCCACCCGTGACCCCAGCATTAGACTAAGTATAGTAGAACGTCATCGTGCGAATCGTAGCTGTGTATAAGCAATAATTCTTATGTAGTAGTGCCGTAGTTACCTATGCTTGACGTAAGAGTAAATATAGTATTGGCCTTTCGGTGAATAAACAACATTTACTCACTTACCTTCAAAGTATTCCCGAAAAATAACGCTCATTGCATATATTTGCGAGATCATGCATACAATTCAAATCAAGCGTGGCTATTACCAAACATTTCACGTCTTAGCGCTAATATATATGACTATATTAACTGACACTTGTCTTAATATATGTGGATGCTATGTCATCGCAACTCATTTTACACTGATATGCTACATGCCTCATTGGTTGAGGCCACCGCAATTTGCATCCCTGAGACGTGACTGGTTCGAAGTGTGGACACCGCCTGCATGGTCTCGTGGATGGATAGCTTGTCCTTCGGCACCAAGGGGATAAAGTGGGGACTGATCGACTATGAGTCAGCATCATGTGCCTGAGTGGGGTATCTATGTTAAACATTTGCATGGCACACAGTTCACCCGTCCGTACCTGTGCACAAGTGAGTGAGTGAGTTTGGTTTAACGCCGCTTTTGACAGTATTCCAGTTATATCAAGGCGTGTCAGCTTAATGTGGGAGGAAAGCCAGAAGTGATGCAGGTCTCAGACGTTTACCACTTCGGTGAAACCAACGAGCACGGGTATGGTGCTGACAAACCTAGAAACATAATCAGGGCGAACCGGGATTCGCACCCACAATCATATGTTTCTGGCTTGCCCAAGGGACGCAACTCTGCACAGCGAATCGCGGCGCCTTAGACGACTGTGCCACCCGTGCCCCCTGTACGCCAAATGAAATCTGTTTCGGAGGATTCTTGCATTGACAATATATATTTCTGCATGGACGGGTGATAACATAGACACAAAGCATATATCGTTTTTGGACGTGTTTTATATCCCATTATTGAAGTGAAGTATAAACAAGAGGCGATTAGGTGCCTCACTCTGGCAAGTGTGGGTTCGAATCCCGGACGGGACTCAACCCCCCCAAAAAGTACGAGAATTTGTACTTAACTAAGAAAGTGTTATCCCAAATATAACATCGGTTACAAGAGGAAGGTGTTCCACCCACTGATACACAGAATCAACAATCTCTCCATCACTCCATAATGACTCTATACACAGATTATCGACCAGTGACAGCAATAGTTTATGGTGTGTCTACAGGGCTATTCCACTCAAATAAAAAAATCGATATGTTTTAAAAGTTGTTCCGAACTGTACAACCTGCGTGCTTTAGGCCTTCGACACGCAACGAAAACAAAAAGCCTGTGGCGATGAAGTAGAACATAGGTTACGGGAGGACAAGTATAAGAAGTGGCAACCTGAATGCCGAGCGGGTAAGGTAACCAGGTAGGGCAGCATCAAGTTTCATCTTTTTAACGTCTTTTGTTGAGATGCGACAGGGGAATTGAACCCCCGACCTCCTCTTTGGGAAGAGGCTGTATCCACTAGACAATGGAGGCTGACGCTCGACATTAAGGGGATAAAACATGAGGTGGGGTGAGGTGAAATGGTGAGGTGAGGTGAGATGAAATGGGGTTTAACGTCGTGTCCAAGAATATTACACTTATACAGCGACGTGCATGCACGTGTGTGTGTTTGTGTGGCTGCTTGTACTAGTCCGGACTGATGCCGATTTATAGTGCTAGCTCACTGAGATACCATGCCGCAGTTTAACATGAATACCCCACTCAGACACAGTATACTGACTCCGAGCCGACCAGTCCTTGTTTTAGCCGCTTAATGCCGAGCGCCAGACAGGGTAACAACAAGTACCATCTTTTAACGTCTTTTGGTATGACGCGGCAGGGGATCGAACCCCGGACCTTCCGCTCTCCGGGCGGACGCTCTACCACTAGACCACGGAGGCGGTCGGATAATACATGAACTGGTTATGGGAGTATAATGTGTCTGAGTGGAGTGTCCATGTTCAACAGGAGCATGGTATCTCAGTGGGCTAGCACGATCAAAACCGGTATATGCCCGGACTAATATCAACGTGGCTATGTAAGTGAAAAAATATTTAACAACACGCAACGCTAAAACTCATTTCACCTCACCAACACGATGAAACTATATTCACAATACCAGTTAATGCAATATACAGTTTTTAACCAAATGGGTCAATATTTATGAGTTAAATTTCGGCACACAGAGTTGTTAATTTTCAAAAAACCTGACTGCAGTCAACCCTATATTATATTCATATTTCGTCCATTGAGTTTAATCCCAATCACTTTAGGCTGCAGATGCGGCAACTGAGAGCTGAATAGTATTGAATACTGTAAGGGACATTCTCGCGATCTCGCATTCTCGCGATCTCGACCTTTGGAAACGAGGTAAATATACCCAAAACACGAGAATGCGAGATCGCGAGAACGCGAGATTTGGCCAAATTCTCGCGTTCTCGCGATCTCGCATTCTCGTGTTTTTGGTACATAGCACTTTTTGTCAAAAGTCGAGGACGCGAGAATGCGACATTTGGACATGATGCAAAATCTCGCAATCTCGCAATCTCGACTTGTCAAATTAGGCCACAAAAACACGAAATCGCGAGAACGCGAGAATGCGACATTTCATTTTCTCGCGATCTCGCGTTCTCGTGTTCTCGCGTTTTAGACGCTGTCCGTGCGCATGTGTAATATCATAAGGTCAAGCGCATGCGCACGTTAGTAGTCCTTTGGTCATGCTTCTTTCATGCTCTTCATTCCCCAAGTAGCATTTAGCAAACTTATGACTTGAGCTTGAAAATGCTATGTAATTTACATACACAAAGTCTGAGTCATCTCCCGTTGTTACAGTTTCCTATGTACTTTATAATAAAACCCTCAACATGCTCAATATAATTTAACAAAAGAAATTGTGTCTATGAATGTCAAATGATGGTGAAAACATAAATGTGTCCGAAAGCTGGAAACAAAACTATTACCGTCAGTGAGTGAGTGAGTAATATTGCTTAAAGCCGCATCAGCAGTATTGCAGTTATTCGCGGCTACACTGTCAGTTACAGAAATAATCACAAGCCTGTGAGTTTCTCAATGAGGCAATTTTATACACGGCTAGAATATTCATTAAAATAAAATTCTCACAGACCAATTTTTAGCATTCGGATAAAATGATATTGTCCGATGTTTTTTTTTTTGGTTTTTTTATACGATACCATATTCGCTACTTTAATTAATTGATTTTCATCCGCTGCCGCCTGACAACAAAACATCCTGCCTTACATTATTCTAATGCCCTCAAATTCCTAGAAATAGAAGTATCGTTAATATGAGTGTTCCTACTTTCTTTACCTGATAAAATACTCCGTACACGTAGCCCTACTGAGCACACATGATGCATGCGAATCGCATCCGCCGACAGCAATTGTACACATATGCCTAAAGTAGGTCGATAAGAACAAAATAAAAACGTTAAAACTAAATTGCCTCCTGTCTCCCATGTTTTTAAAAAATCAATCAAACTGTAACTATTAATTTTATTGCGGCCTTAACATT